GAGCAAAACCGATGTGTGGGTACGAGTACTACCACTCGAGGAAAGTTCAAAAGAAGGAGGAGAAAAAGCATCTTCATTTTCTCCTTTTCATTGTTGCCGGAGAAGCTGTTCTCTACGGTCTGCTGCTGGTGCTGCTTTCGCTGCTGCTGGTGCTTCTCCTGCTGCTGCTGCTTCTGCTACTGCTGCTGCTGCTGCGGCTGTGGTCGCCGAAGGCAGGAGTGGTGTTTTTTGTACAGATCAGTTCCAAGGGAAAAACCGATCTGTTTGTGTAGAGTACATAAAAAGGGGGGGCCTTTGTGTGTGTATTACTGTATGTACAGTACGCGTTAGATGCCTTCGTACAGACTATATACAGAGAAGCCATAATGCTTGTAGCTACTAGTCTAGGGGATGGAAGTGCCTGTGGATAGACTGCACGTAGACGTCGGGTGGCGTCTGTGTGCAAGTTATAGCTACGGGACTGGCCATGTATACATATATATATATATCGTGTTGGAGGGCAGGAACTGTAGCTGCGTACAAGTTGTTTGTATATATGTAGAAAGGAGGGGTGTGTGTATGGATTCTCTTAAAGGGCAACATCGAGGGCTTTGTATAGATCATACGAAAGCGGCAGTGGCTGCAGATATGGTACTATGCGGGAAACAACATGTCTGTGTATGCGTCAAATGTCGAGGATGAGTGCTGTCTGCGCATACGTCATACATAAAGAAGGGGTGGTGTCCCTGTGTATCATTCTGGAGAAGAGAAATAATAGCTGCGCGCCAATAAGGCAACATGTACAGAGGAGGCAGGGTATCAGTATATATATTTCGCGAGTAGTAGTGGCTCTGTATTAATCACGTATAGATTACGTTTTAGGAGAACTTTGACAGCTACGGGTAGGTCATATATGCAGTAGAAGGGTGTCGCTTGTATACATTGTCCTGGAAAGTGGAGATGGCTGCTGTCTATAAAATAGATGTAAACACTGATGTCTGTATGTGGCGCATATATAAAGGAGAAGAGTTGCGTGTACATAATACCACAGCGGGAATAAGCGGATGAAGTCTGGAGATCATATTATATAGGCAGACTGATAGCTACGAATATTTGTAAAGGAGAAGTGTTTGTGAGGAACTTGCGTACAGGGCAGGATTGGCGGCTATGTGCAGGTTGTATAAGAAGATTGATGTCTGCATATGGAGCGTGTATGGAAGAGGAGTGCCGGATGTATATATACGCATTCTACACGTATATATATACGTATACGTATATGTATATACATTAAATGTATGTATATATCTATACACGGAGGTATGATGGCTGCGTATAGAGTTTACGAGACAAAATTGACATCTGTATTTAATTTGTCTGTTGAGGAGAAGTGCTCGGCGTACAAGAGAGAAAGCTGATGTCTACGTATAGACTATCGTGTAAATGATATCAGAGTAGTACAGTCGTGGTGTTTGTGTGTAGAGTGTGCAGAAGGCGCAGGAGATTAGCGCAGATATATATATATATATATAGATATAGATATCTATGTATACAGTGCGCTTCCTGTGCTTGAACACCTGCGAATACGCAGATCTGTATATGCACGCTTACGTAGATATGGCTATGTAGAGATGAATTGCCTGTGTTCTCGCCACACACACACCCACACATCTGTGTATATGGATTAGTCTGTATCCTATTCGCGTGCAATGTTGGAGAGCGTTGCGTGTAGCGTGCTGGCTGCACTGGTACACACATATACATCTGCGTGTACAAAAATATATATTATCTAGGTATGTATATGTATAGCATTGTATTCACGAGTACTATCAGATTGAGAATGCTGCAGCTGGAGCCTGCCGGCAGAGGGGCGTGCTGGCTGTACTACATACATGCATATACCTCTCTCGTCATACAGATATATACGTATATCACCTTGTCCACGTGCAGTATCAGACAGAGTGCTGCAAGCCGAGCATGCTGACTGTATTCCTGCTGCCGCCTTCTTGGTGTATGAAGCTGTCTGCATCTCTAGGTAGAGTACAGTAGTCGCCTTTTTTCTGGGGGTAAAGCGGAGCGCTTGCCACGTAGAAGGCAGTTGTCACGGAGATCTCTATTTAGTGTATACCTGCAGTCGTATACATATATTTATTGAGTACGTACACATATGTATACATGTGCATGTATATATATGTGTGTGTGACTGTACGTGGGGCATGCTGGCTGTATCTCTGCTGCCTCTTCCTTGGTCCGTGTCTCTACGTGGAGAACGGTAGCCACCTTCCTTCCCATGTGGTGGAGCGGGGCACCTACCGTTTCGCTACGTAGTAAAGAGGTTGGCTTGGATATCCCTTCCGTGGTACGTACGTACAGCTGTGTGTATATGTGTTATATTCGTTTACATATAGACATGTATATATATATATGTATATATATATGTGTATATGTAACTTCACGTAGAGCACCGTGGCTGCGTCCTTGCTGCCACTTCCTTAGGAGATAGGCCTGTCAGTGTATCTACGCATATTAGGTGTGTCTCCGTAGGAGGTGGTGGAGCATGCGCCTCCAGCCGCGCAATGCGGAAGAGACGTTGTCTCGGAAACCGCTTTCGTAGTAGGTCTATGTTCATATGCATGTATTCTATTTGTGTCCGTATGTATATATAGCTAGAACTCGTGTAAGCCATGAAAGACCCACCAGGTCTGCGCATACGTACTTAATAGTGTGTATATACGTATATGTCTATATGCAGAAAGTGTGGTTGGCTGCAGCTTCTTCTTACGCTGTGCTCACAGTATCTTGAGCTGTGGATATCTTCATTCGTGCAGACGTACAAAAGTAGACGTAGGGACGTGTGCTAGGCAAGAACCTTAAGTAGGTTCGTATATATATATATAATATATATATATATATATATATATGTGTGTGTGTACAAATATGCATATGTATATGTATATGTGGTGGTCGTCTGTTGCCGCGGCGGTGTGCGGCAGCCCCCCATCAACCCCGGTCCTTGTAGACGCTGTATTTAGAGGCGCGGTGCTCGACGCTACTGCGTGTGTAGCTGCTGTATTAGCGACCTGCTGTAATTCAGCTGCTTGGTTGCAGGTGCGGCTCTTTTTTTAGCTGCCGCTGTCATGCAGTTGTTGCTGTATTTCTTCTGCTGCTGTACTGTAGCTGCCTGCTGTATCGCAGCAGCAGCTGCTGCTGCAGCGTTGTGGCTGCTGTGGTTTGCTGTGTATGTGTCGACGCTATGTTTTTGACTGTTGTACCCAAGCTGCTGCTGTATAGTAAGTTGCTGTCTTGTTCTCCTCATCATTGTTCTGGAGAGCCGGTGCTCTCTATCTCTCTGCAACATTGTGGCTGCTCAGTTTGTAGCTGCCGCTGTAGCTGCTGCTATACCGTACCCGTTGTATTTATAGCTGCTGTATCTCAGCTTTTACTGTATTTGTAGCTGCTGCGTTCCAAGTGCTGTATTGTAGCTGCTGTCTTTGTAGCTTCTGTATTGTAATTGCTGGCGTATTGTAGCTGCTGCTTTCGTGTTGTAGCTGCTGCTGTTGCTGTACGTAGCTGCGGCTGCTGCCGCCCTATCGCAGCTGCTGCCGCTGCGGCGTTAGCTGAATGCTCCAGCACTTATACAGCAGTGCTGCTGTGACGGCTGATATCTCTCTACGTATATATATATATATATATATATATATGTACGTGTTCTTTATGGATCACAGTACATATACGATGGTATACGCTTACATATGTGCCATATTATGGCCGTGGAATTCCTGATGTGCAGGCGGTTGTCAAAGCTGGCTTCGGTACAGCTGCCTTTTTTTCTTTCCTTTCTTTTCGTTTCATGTGTCAGACTCCCCCCATCTACCGTTTCCGTAGCGGAGATTGCGACGTCCTGGGCGTCTCCTTTGCACATGTCTGAGGTAGTACGTTACGTATACACATGTGCATATTCATATATAATGTATGTATATGTCTGTATGTGTATATCACGTAGATGTATATATCCGTGTGTGTATATATGTCTGTGTGTATGTGTGTGTGTATGTGCCTACCTATGTCTGTATGTATGTATGTATGTGTGTATATATGTGTGTGTTTGTTTATGTATGTATGTACGTATGTATGTCATATGCTCTGTTCTGTCGGTCTGCTGGTGTTGCCTGACATGCTGCAGAACCGGGTGCAACAACAGAGGCTGGTGCATCAGGAGCAGCAGAGCGGCTGTTGACAGGAACAGGGTCGGGTGTAGGTGCATCAGGAACCGCACCACCAGGTGGTGGTGGAATTACTACACAAGCATCACAGACAGGTGCACTCAGTACTCCGCCTCCAGGAGGGGGAAAATGCGTCCCCCCAAGTAGCTGTTGCTGTGACTGCTCCACCGCCTCTGAAGGCTCCACCACCGCGCCTACCACCACCTAAATCTGGCCCTTCGATGGGTGGCGCTGGCGCTGTTGGTACTCCTCCTGCAGGTGGTGCTGGTACTGGCACAACACCTCCTGGCGGTGCTGCTACGCCTATTCAACCTCCCCCCGATCAGCCCCCGCTCGCTGAAGCGCCTGTGGATAATACTGTCCCTGCTGCAGCAGAATGAAAAAGCAGCTATCTATACTATTTGCAGCAGGAGAGAGAAAATGAAAAGAAGGCGGGAAAAATTCACGTCTTTCCTTTATCTCTTGCTGCTGCTGCTGTTGCTGGTGTTCTTGCTGTTGTGGTCGCTCCTCTCGACATTACGCGCCTCTCTGTCGCCTATTCATACACCGTCACAGCCGCTGCCATGCGCTACAGCTCTGCTACGCACTCAGTGATTCAGAAGGGGGGAGTAAGGCGTTTTTGATAGGCTTTTCAACTGCTGCTGCGACGTCGTAAAGGATTGACGGAGTAGCTAACTACTGCTATACCGCTCTTTGCCACAGCCCGGATTTCTTCTGTTATTGCTGCTGCTGCTGCTTCTTCTGCTGCTGTTGGTGTTTCTCGGTGCGCGGTTGCTGGAAGTCGTGCTGCTCGAGTGCTAGTCATGCTGCGGGAGATGTGTCATAGATGCTTCTGTTATTCCGGGTGCTGGAGATGTAGGTCTTGGAAGGGTTGCTGCTGCTGCTGCTGTCCAGCGGGTCTAATATTGCGGTGCTGTTGCTACTGCGAGTACTGGTGCCGCCGCGGTGAGAGGAAGATACGGGGCGTCGAGAAGCGTGCCGACCTTGCTGCTGCATGCTATAGACATGCGGGGGGAGATAATTGAGAGAGAAAAGGAAGGAGGCAGGTGATGCTCTGCCGTTGCCACTGTGTGGCAGCAGCACCAGTAGCATGAAGATATATATATATATGTATATATGTTGATGTAGGATATCTGCAGCTGCTGCAGGAGATGAAGGCGTCTGTCTGTTATCAGACCACTGCTTACACGCTGCAGACAAGGCGCCTTTGAATAGGTAATGGACGGACTCCTTGTCACCTTGCTTACGCCATGTAGGTACGCAGCAGATCGGTGTATGCGCGCCGAAGCACAGGTAGTGAGCGCGTCTGCTATGGGAACAAGTCTGGTAATTGATAGCAGAGCAGCACAGCTACAGATAGAAAAAAAACACATCTTGGCATCTCCGGTGGTTGACAGCAGAGTAGCGCAGCTACAGAAAGAGAAAGATAAATCTCTTCATTTCCGCGCTGGACGTACGCTACGTATTAGTGTACGTATACTGCAGGCCGGTGTACGTACACTGCACAATGGTATATGTACACTACAGGTCGGCGTACGCACACTACATATCGGTGTACGTTTACTGCTGAAGCGAATGCGATGGGCGCGTGGATTATCATAGAAATTTGGGAGGACGGCGGCAGAGTAGCGCAGGTGCGAAGAGAAAGCGTAGAGTTGCGGTGTTTCTGCATCAACGGAGAAACTGAAGGCGGGAGAAGCAGAAACATTAGCAGAGCAACAGCACTATCCTATATGTTCCACTGGACAGCTGTCACATACTAAGGTCGCATGTAGAAACTGAGAAGAAAGCAGGTACACATATTTACACGCATTTGCTCTTTTTCACCCTCTTTTCGACACTTGCCGAAAGGAAGTCTCTACTGGTACATCAGGCGCAGGAAGCCTGCGCAAAACAAAAGGCCTACGTATCCTGCAGTACATATATATATATACAGTATGCTTTTGTAGAAGATATGTGCTATATATATGTATGTATCTATGATTACATGTATACGTATATATGTATTTTCCAGTTATATATATGCACATATATATGTGTGAAGCACATATATGTTGTATATATAGCGTCTAGGCTTGTGTGTACGGGTGTGCGGGGGGAGCTGCAAGACAGCTGGCGCTGGCGGAGGTGGTGCATAGCCAGGCAGCAGCAGCTGCGGCTGCAGGATCACTTAATTTGTTCAGGTGGACTGGAGTTTTAGAGAGAGATCGTCCAGCGGCAAGTCCGAGTCTTTTCCGGTGTATATACACCGCGGTGAGTACAGAGGGACGTAGGTTCTACTGTACGCGCAGGTAGCATTTTTTTATCTCGAGGGAAAACAAAGGGGGTGACAAGCCTTTTATGATTCTTGTTCTTCAGGGAAAAGGGGAAGGGTGGACTGATCAACTTTCTGATTTCAGGCGTATGTACACCCGCGTTCTGCTGGTGATGAATGAACTCTACTTTTTTCTTTACGGATGCGTACGAGAGAGAGAGCGGGAGAGCTTAGGAAGCAGAAGCTGCGGCCTGCTGAAGGTTACGTATATACATACATATTTACGTATGCGTGTGTGTATACAGCTATAGGTGTATCTACCTATATACCTTTACATATTCATGTTACAGATACATACATATATATATATATATATATTATATATGGATATATGTGTATATGTATATATATATATATATATATGTATCTGCATGACGGAGTCTCAGAAGGAAGTTACGATTTATTCTTATACCGTCCGCCTCACACGCCGCACGTAAGTATGTGTGCACATGCGTATAGGGCGGGTAAGACCTGGTGTACGCAGCTGTGCATGTGTGAAGAAGACACGTGTATGTCTGTATACTCTCTTTCGATAGTGAGTAGATAAATATATCTGCACATGCATTCTTTTTCAGTCCGTGCCTTGTTAGCTCCCTGCTATACCTCCATGTAGACGTACTTGGATAATTGCAGCTCACCAAGCTGCACACGAAGGGGCAGGGCCAAAAGGGAGGGAGAGAGGGCAGGCAGACCGCGGGCAGCTCTGGAAGCTGAAAATAAATATATTTTTCTGTCTGTGCCTTTTTTCATATTCATGTAAAGCCCACGGATTGTAACGTTACAAGGCGATAACTGTCAGAGGAAACGCTAAAGACAAAGGTTTCAACCAGGCTGGTTTTTTGATTATATCTGTGTATGCATGCGCAGACATACCCGGACGTAGAGGTACGCGCACTGCAGGCGCGTACTACTCCTTCATATAGGTGTGTGTACAGAGAAGAGAGGAATTGAAGCAGGCTCAACGCCTCCTATTCAGCCGTGCAACAGGCTATATAGTTACATATGCATGCATACTCGTGTCTGTTCATGATGCGCTTGGATGCATATATGTGTATTTGAAGTTTACAACGTTCGCGACATTGCTAGGAGCCCGCTGAAGCAGGCGTGGTCGTCTTACATGTGCATCTTGTCATAATCAATATATATGGATATATATTATATATATATATATGTATATATATGTCGTATATCTTGTAGTAGCCATCTTTGTGCATGATGTGCAACGTAGACACATATGTAGCTCCATGATATTGGTAACGCCGCTAAGAGCTAAAGAAGACAACTGAGGCAGGCGTAACGCCTCCTATACGCGCATGTAGCCGTGTATACACTCACTTATACGATATATATATATATATATATATATATGTGCGCGTATATACATGTTTACATATACAATATACCCGGTAGTCCTTCGTTGTGGATGGTGTGCTCGTAGACGAATATGTGTATTTGCTGTGCACACGGCAAGCAGGGACTAGGAGTAGCCGCAGCATGACGCCGCCGCGCGGGCAGACTCTCCAACGTGGCACGTGTGTTGCAGATGTGCATACGTACGCAACAAACGGCGTGTGCAACTATAAAAGAGGAGAGTTAGGCGTATCCAAGTGGAGCATATATATGCTTTCTGTGCATATACATAGCTGCGTGTATATACAACTACATATTTCTGTTTACATGCTTTACTTGTAAGGACCAGGTAGAAAGGGCTCCGTGATTCTACCTGTCTAACGAAAGAAAATTTTTGCATGGCGGAGGCGACTGGGCAGGTGGATATGTACCAAATCATACGTAAGTATACACATACATACATTTTATATAAATATATGTTATATACGTGCTCTAATAGCGGAGACAAGGTGGAAGGGGCCTCGTGATATCATTTGTCAAAAGAGAGAAAATTTTTGCACGGCGTAGATGGCTAGAGGGTGGGTATGCACAACGGCACAGGCAACCAAAGGGGCCGTAATGGAGGCTACGTGTGCTTCATAGAGGTATACGTATATATCAGTATATATCTGGGCATATGTGTGTAACTGCTGATTTGCTCCAGGAGCGGAGGCAAGGTAGAAGGAGCCTCGCAAGCTGCGTGTCGAGCCTGAACCGACTTCTTCACAGCGCAAGCAACTGTCGCGCGGCTCTCTGCAGTGTTCTGTGTGGACCCGGAGGATCTCAAGGGAGCGTAGATAAACTGAAAAGAGGCATATATACATATATGTGTATGTACATATATATATATATATATATATATATAATTTATGTATCGTGTTGACGTGCTCCAGGGGGAAAGGAAGGCAGGGAGAAGCTTGCCATGTTATCCGTGAGTTGACAAGTTGAATTTTTCGCACGGCGCAAGCAGCTGGTGGGAGGTTGGGAGCCGTACCGGAGCCTACATGACTTCACGTATGCACATATATATATATGTAGGTGCGTATGTATACGTATAAATATATATATATATAGAGAGAGAGAGAGATACGCGTATAGACATACCCTGCTTATGGGGATAAGGTAGATGAAGCTCTGTGAAGCTTTGCGTCGAGTGAGAGATTCTTTGCAGCTGGCGGGTGGTTATGTACAACTTCATACGTGAACTGGGGGGTCGTTCCCTGAATCAGCCACGGCACATACGTGGACGAAAGTGAATTTCCTCTGTATCGGACGTCGAGGGTGATAGGGGCGATAGGGGCGGGCAGCAGCAGCATTTGAGGTGCGGGGGTGGCGCGGCACGCAAATTGAGGAGGTAAATATGGCGCGGTGGTGGGTTCCTTAAAAAGAATAAAAACAAAATGTAAAGTACATGATTTAGTGATAATAGCACGGAGATGGAAAGTAGCAATAATAAATGTATGTATGTGATACAGTGGTGACAGTAGAGAGATAGAGAGGAAGAGAGCCAGATCTGGGAGATAAAGGAGGAGCTTCCGCCAACTCTGCGTAAAATACGTCTCTGGTGTACGTACACCCCCGTCGCACTGCAGCGCAGGGGTGCATTTCGTTTCGTAGAGATGTCGCTGGTCTCGAGAATATTTTTCCTTCTGCGGATAGCTGTAGACGTACATAGACTAATTTGGTTAGTATAATAGTGTGATGACGCAGAGAGATAGAGAGAGGAGAGGCAGTTTTGAGCAACAAAGGAGGAGTTACTACATGTCTACGTAGAGGAGGACGTCTCGGGCGTATGTACGGCCCACTGCCACGCAGCACAGGGGTGCATCTGATTCTTTCCGTAGAGATGCTGCTGGTCGTGAGGGTATTTCTCTCATGCAGTCAATTTGAGGGTAGGTATTATATATTATCTGTATGATAATGATGTGAAGACAGCAAAGATAGAAAAAAGAAAGAGTGGCGGCTGTGGGCGGGAGGATGGCGCGGCGATAAAGGAGGAGCTTTTCGACTCTCTGCGGCGTACGTACTCCTCATTGCGGTGGGACACAGGGGGAGCATGTCGTCCTATATATGGTTTCGATGGCCGTCAAGGCATGTTCTTGCATTTAGTTGCACGCATGAATATACAATTTAGTATTACGGTGATAGCAGTGATGACAGCAGAGAAGTAAAGAAAAAAAAGAAAGGCAGCTGTGGGCGGATGATGCTGTGGAAATGGGAGCTCTTCACGTCCACGTCTGCGGTGCACGTACACCCCCGTTGGAATGCAGCACAGGGGTCCATGTCCTCTGGACTTGGATGGTCGTCAAGGCATGTTCTGCATGCGGTCAGGAGGCATGAAAATAAAATGTCACTATGGCAATACCGGGGCGCGATGACTGCATGGAAGCAGGAGGAGGGAAGAGGGGCAGCAGAGGGGTAGAGGGCGAGAAGAGGAGCAGCAGAGAGTTAGAGGGAGGTAGGAAGGGAGGGCGTAGGCGATAGAGCAGGAGCCTCGTCAAGTGACGTAGCAGACGTCTGCCGTGTACGTACCACACCACAACAGTGCAGCAGAGGGGTGCATGATTTTCTTTCTGTAGGACACGTCGCTGGTCTTGAGGCAATTTTTTTCTTTGCGGCCAGCTGCAGGCATGAATATAAAAATTGTTCACGATAATGATATGTTGGACAACACGGAGATAGAGGGAGGAAAGAGAGTTAGCTGAGCGATAAAGAAGGGCTTTAACTTTGCGTGGAAGACGTCTCTGGTATACGTACACCCCACTGCAATGCAGCACAGGGGTGCATGTGTCTCTGTAGAGATGTCGCTGGTCGTCGGTGTATCTTCTTCCACGCAGCCAGCTGTTAACGTAAATGTAGATTGTCAGGTCAAGGCTAATAGTGATGTGACGACAGCGTAGATAAAGAGAGGAAAGAGATGGAGCTGTGGGCAGGGTGATGGAGTCGCGATAAAGGAGAAGCTTTGTTAAGTCTGTATAGAAAGTATGTCTGTAGGAGAGTATACATATATATATATATATATATATATATATATATATCTACGTGTACGTAGATTCCATTGCAATGCAGCACAGTGGTGCATGCGTTTGATTCTGTTAACATGTCGATGGTCCCTAGGGTGTCTTCTTGCATGCATTGAGTTGTTTGTGTACGCACACAAGTGCTGTGGGAGGTTAAACCTCCTCCCGACACTGACTTAGGGAGTTGCAAGGGGGGCGGGAGTGCAAGCGTATTGGGCCAGATCTTGTAGTTACCATCCGCTTGTGCTGTGACCATCTATATACATATATACATCTATATATATATATATATACGTGTTTATATCTGTGCGTATATCTATATATATGTATACGTGTCTATTTATATATATATATATATATATGTATACATGTATGTATGTATATATACATATATACATGTATGTATACGTGCATAAGAGTGGGCAGTGTGTGTGGACCGGCGGTGTGCAGCATGCACAGTAATTTTTTTTCATGTGTCTGCGTGAGACGAACACGCCTGTAAAGAGGCGCGCTAGTGATACGCCATGGGGGGAAGACGGTCATATGTCTGGCACGCCTTGGCGTTCTGGAGCCTGCCTTGTTCTCCATGCGGAGAGAGAATTTTTCCAGATGATTTCTGTGTCCAACGCTAAAAATAACGTATGTGGGTAGTGTTTTCCAACTTGTGCCAGTAGCAGCATGTACATACAAACACCCCATATACATATGTACGCATGATTATAATGCAGATATACACAAACAATGTATATATATGTATATATATGTATATGCAATATATATATATATATATAGACTCGTGTATGTGCACGTGGATATTCTTACATCATAGAAGGGAGACGGGTCAGGGCTTTTCCCCTAGGTACATACGAAAGGTATACGCGCAACCTGCTGAAAACTCGTGTACCTAGACACTGTTTTTTCCTACGATAGAAGAGAAGCAGATCAGGGACGTCTTCGCAAGTAGAAAGCGTATGCGTAAACACCCGCGTATATACATGTATATATGTATATATATGTACACACATATATCCATATATGTACGTATTTATACACATATGTATAGACACACATATCTACATACAGTTATTTGTGTAGTCTTCCTCGCACGCAGCGGAATTTGCTACATTGAAGGGGTGTCACGTTCTCGGTATGCCACTACGTATGTGTAGGTTCCTAGCCGTCTCAGCACCATGATATGGCGAGGAGGACTATCTCCAAATATTGCTGCAATCATACCGAGATGCACGGAACACGAAAGACTACCGCATACACTGACGGAAGCAGCTGTTCACATCGTCTCACACGCAGGCGATGAAATCTACGACAAGAGCTGCGCCCCTTCACTGGTTTGCCATCAGGGATGCAAGGCCCTACAGCCACCTCGGTACGCCAACGTATGTAAGGCCCTACGAAGCCGGACAATGTATGTAAGAAGGGTGTACCCGTCACAGTACGACAATGCATGTAAGCCGGACTTACTTTGTAAGTAAGGCTTACATGCATTGTGTACATAAGGAGGGTCTTACGCTTCTCAGTACGATAGTTTATGTAGGGGCCTAGCTTCAATGCAAGGTCCTCACCGTCACAGTACGACAATGCATTTAAGCCGGACTTACAAAGTAAGCCGGTGTATATAGGGAGGGTCTTACGCTTCTCAGTACGATAGTTTATGTAGGGGCCTGGCTTTCAATGCAAGGTCCTCACCCGTACCAGCGAGAAAATGTGTGTATATACCCTTCCCAGCACGCCAATGTATATAGGGTTTTACTTTCTCAGTATGTAACCCGATGCCCTTCCCAGTACGACGCTGTCCGTACGACAGTGGACGCACACACCCTTCTCATCACGCCTACGTATTGAAAGATTATACTCTGTTCAATAGGAGAATGTATATACCGTCCTGCGCTTCTCAGGTAAGCAAGGTCCGGTCTACTCTTCTTAGTACGACAATGTATGTACCGTCCCACCCCTCTCAGTATGAAGAGGTAAGCGGGGACCTCCGCTGCTCTGTACGTCAATGTACGTAAGGCCCTACGAAGTACGAAATGTGTGTAAGGTCATACCCTCCTCAGTACGGTAGGGAATGTAAGCTGCCCTACAAGTAGGCCGGTGTATGTAAGGTGGCCTCACCCTTTTCACCACGACAATACAAGCTGGATCTACAGAGTACGCCAGTGTATATTTGAATGTCTTCACCCTTCTCAGTACAACAATGTAAGCTGGTCCAGCAATGCACGCCCAGTGTATATAAGAAGGTCTTACCCAACACAGTGCGCCAGTGTATGTAAGGCCTAGTCCCTCTTCATACGACAACGCATGTGGGGTCTCTCTGCTCAGTACGTCAATATATGTACGGCCCACCCTCTTCAGTAAGACAAACGCACACAAGGGGCTACCATTCTCGATTAGACAGTGCATTTAGGTCTTCGCCTCGTCAGTGCGACAATGTAAATAAGGCCCTAGCCCTTCAGTACGACAATGTATGTATGGCCAACCCTTCTCAGTGCAATAACGTATATAAAACCCTACCTCTCTCGGTACGCCAGCGTATACAAGACGCCGGCCTTCTCGGTACAACAGTGTATGTAAGGGCCTACCCTTCTTTGTACAACAACGCAAGAAAGGCTCTACTTCTCATTGTACGACAACGTATATGAGGCCCTACCTTTTCAGGACGACAGTACATGTGAGGCCCTACTTTCCCGGTACGACAATGTATTAAGGGCCTAGCGTTTAGACGGAAACGGTATATGTAAGCTCTAATATGCTCAATACGACAATCTGTACAGTGTCTAGCCTTCTCAGTATGACAATGTATGTAAGGTCTTCCCTTCGCACTACGGTAACGCATGTCAGATCCAACTCCTCCTAGTACGACAGTGCGTGTAAGGTCTGCCCCTCTCAGCACAACAGCGTAAGTGTGCGTTGCTCACTACGACAAAATAAGATCCTACTTCTTTCAGTGCAACAACGTATGTAAGGTCTACCCTTCTCTGCACGGCAGCGTATGTAAGTCCTACCTTCGCGATACGGCATTGCGTGTGAGGCCCTGCCATGTCAGGACGACGATGTATGTAAGGTGGCTCTACAAAGTAAGACATGTATGCAGGAAGGCTCTACTGTTTTCCGTACGAGAATGCATATAAGGTCCTACGCTTCTCAGTACCGCGGGGCGGCGAGGAGGCTTCCTTGCACACTAATATAGATTCACAGATAGCGAACGGAACAACCACACACAGGCACATGCTGCTATACAAGGACCTTTGTATGCGTAAGGCGACGTGTATAGCGCGGGCCTCCATATACATGCATCTGCGTACATGTATGCATACACACGTAGAATTGTACGCAGGTATGCAAAAGCGTGAGGCAAGGAGGTAGAAACTGCGTATAGATTGCGAAGGCAGGGCAGCAAACGCGCACAATAGTCGTCCACCCACGAGATATACATATATAAGAATATATATACATATGTAGATATACAAATATATATATATATATATATATATATATATATATAGCTGAAGTCGACTTGTGGTACTCGGCGTTTCAAAGATGATAGCCGCGAATATGTAGCGCTGTAGTGGGACGATGATATATTTCCGCAGGGGTGAGCACCTTCGTGCTTTGTGCCCCGCA